CAAGTTCAAGACCCAAACTGATGTTCCCTCTGTGTGTGGTTCTCCTCTTCTACCAGTCTGATTGGTTCTTCTACAGGTTCTCAAGTTTCTTCCCTCTGTCAACAAGCATGGAGGACTAGGTTAACTGGTCACTCCCAACTGATCATAGGAGTTAATGAGTGTGAATGTGGGTGTGAATGGTGTGAACTGTCCAATGTGTGACCCCACCCTAATCTGTCATTGGCTGACAACAGTGACCCCCCCTCAGCTGACGTTGGATATCTGCTCCGTCACATCAGGCCTTCTGACAAAGTCCACCTGACTTGATTCTATATATTCTGGTTCCACAAGACCTAATCATCATCATCTGACACTGATACTGCCCCCTAGAGTATCTTCATTCACAGTGACACAAAGACAGCAGCAGGTCATTTCAAAAGAAAAACCACTCGTTTTCTCCATGGGATTTGGAATAGGAGAGTTGTAGATTTGACTGTGACAGGATGTTGGACTAATAAGCTGACATGGATTTTTGATGAACTCACTCCTGTGTTTATTCAGCCCCGACTCCCTGAATTTTAATTTCTCCTCCTCTGTCTAATTGTAAAAGAAGGTGAAAATCAGCAGCATCTGCTGGTTTAATGAGACTCTGTCTCTCTGCAGCTTCTACAAACTTCATTGTTAGTGTTCCACTCTACTCACCAACCCTGGCAGGATTTTAGACACAGTATTGATGCTTGGCTGTCTGCAGGGGATGAGACTGTGAAGGAAAGTCTGTTAAAAAGAAAGAGAAAATCAAACTTCATTTAAATATACTGCTGTGATTCTCGAACACAAGTTTTCAAATTAGTCATTTATCAGCAAATTGGATACTTTTCCACTGTACACCATATGACCTCTGATAGTACACGAACGTGCCGCAGCCCAGGGGTTGGGAATCGTTGGTCAAACTGCATTAGAAAATGACCACAGAAGATTAATGTTAAGATTAAGTGTTAAACTGCATTTGTTTCCCGTACTGGGAACTTTGGTTGACACACAAACACAATATATGGAGTTTAAATATTAATAGAACATCGTTTCCATGATAGTGTGGAGCTGAAATATTCATGAGCCACAGATAAAGAGGCGATAATGAGGCTAATTCATCTGTTTAGAGGTGGGGGAAACAGAGCTGATGTTTGCAAACAGAGTAAATTAGTATCATGGGTGGCCTCACAACACACACACACACACACACACACACATACACACAGACTCATGCATATAGTAGGAACTTTTCCAAGAAGTGATGACACGTTCTCCTCAGAGCACCTCCTCCTGGACCACCTGAGTCTGTTCTCTCCATCACCAAAGTCCTCAGAGAAAACCATCGATTTTGCATCAAAACATGAGTTACACAGGAGTTACTGATCGACTGCTGCCCCCTGGAGTAAGTTCATATGGGCTATTGTGTGAATTCTGTGTTTGACAATAACTGTTGAGGTTCATTTCAGTGAAACAAACCAACCACTGGAGGCAGCGTTGGACCAGCAGCTCCTGTGAGGTCACAGAGTAAAATAACAGATTTTCATAATAAACTTTTGTATTGAATAATGAATAAAACGTTCAATTTAAAAAAGTCACTGCCAACTGAAGTCTGACTTATCTCATGAATGTGTTTCCTGCTTTATCTCACTGTTCTGGGGAACTAAATATTTGTCATTGGCACATTCTACCACAAAGAAGTCGACTGAGAAAATCACAGATTTCACGTCAAAGTAGATCAGCACTTCCTGTCTCCTTCTTGGCAAAAAAAAACTCACTCTACTTCTCTATGGATTTTGGTTTGGAAAAAAGTGGATTAACATTTTAATTTCCTGTTTGTAGGGCCTGAACAGAAAGGAGAAAAACAATAATTATTTTGCAGAGAAGCTGATATTTCAGAGCGACACTAGAGAGTGCAAGCAAATATTTGACACAAAAGTATCATATTTCTTTATTAAAGATTAAGAAACTCCAAGCAGCATATTCATAAATAAAATAAGTGTCTCCCTGTGATGAATCTCTGACAGACTTGACGTGATGAAAATTGATGATTGGTTTTTTGTTTTTTTTTTTGGTCTCTGTGACACAGCGCTGGGTTTGAACAGAGAGACAAAAAAACAGAGATAAATAAGGACGTCGTCTCCACGTACTGGCCAATCACAAGCCAGAGGACATCACTGTCAGTTGTTGTTGTTTAGCACAGTGTGAAAAGCTGGTCAGTTGACAAGAGCGACGACTTACACAGTTAGAAAGAAACCTACACACAAGTCCCAGTCCAGGTCTATGAAGCGAGGATCCAGAACAGTTTGTCTCCAGTCGGTTCATTGAATGGGTGGGCGCCTTTTTAAAGTCACATGATCAGAGTTCATCGACAGTTGGCTTTTCAAAATCTCTTTGGCAGAGACACAAAAAGTGAAACCATGAGCCATTTCTTTAGAAGATGGACAAAAAGCACAGTTTGAACCTTTCACGTCACATGGTATGGAGCACATTTTAGACAAGTCTGCACTGGTCCAACATCTGGACCAGGTCCTGACCTCCCAGGTACCCTCCAGCCAGCCAAACCAACACGTGAACGTGGGTCACACGGGTCATCATATAGTTACTATCTGCCCTCTCACAGATACCAATTAGCAAAACAGCTCAGTACAGTTGTTGCCCACAGTGTACAGTATGTGGGTCTCGTGTGACCCACATACTGTACACTGTTAGGTTACAGGGTTAGGCACACATTTCAAAATGTGACGATGTTGGCTACTAAAATATCTGAGGTGGGCTAGACAAGTTAGTAGGAGGTGTGGCCTACATTTTGAGCCAAACTGCTATGAACACCCATATCCATATCCAGTATGTGGGCCACACACTTCAACAAAACCTGTTCCAATGAAATGGTCTAAGAATATATAGTCTACAAGACAGGCCTCGCCAAAATGCTCTAAAAGGACTTAAACAGTACCAGAGTGAGGCAAACCTATAACCACGAGGTCCACGTGGGTCGCAATAAGAGGTTGTTTTTCTGAGAGGAAATCATTAATTGTCTAAAAAAAATTTTTTCAAAAATATTAGAGCCCTTCATTCCGACTGGTTCTGGTTGTTGGTGGGTCAATAAAAAAGAACTTGTATTTTAGACCAAAGTTGTCAGAACTCATCAGGCTCTTTATTGTTCAGAAGAAAAACCTGCAGAAAACTGAATATACATTTTTTTGACGTTGAACCCCCCCCACCCCCTCCTTTTTATCAAGTGCTACATCACAGTTTGGACCGTCAACATTGGTGAGTCAACAAGAAAGGATCTCAAGGGGCAAAATGAAAATTTTGGGGTAAATACCTGTGCAAGTACACTTCAGACTGGCTTTAGAAGGTCCTGCGTGATCCAGCAGAGGGTGCTGTGAGCACAAACTGACCTCACATGATTAAGAGAAGAAGACAGTGAGGCTACGTTGTTTTCTGTCAATCATTCTGTCCAAAGGAGAGAGAGTTAAAGAGTTGAGATGTGCTAGCGTTAGCACAGAAATGCAGAGTTCACATAGAAATAAATCTAACAGCTTTACTCACCAATAATGACTTGACAATGACGATGGCTAGCATAAAAACCTGGTTATTTTGACAAAAATGGAAAACATTGCTAAAGACCAATCTTATTGACATTAAGGGACATTTACAGGAAACAAATGGACAAAACAGAAAACGTACTTGCCAGCTTCTGTTGATAAATGTCTTCGCTATGTATTAGGCCTAGGCTAGCCACGGTTGCTTTTTTGATGCGCATTAAAATTAACAACACCAGTTTAAGAAATTGATAGAAAAGTCACCGCAAGGGGGCGTTTACACTGGAACACCTCTCCTGGTCAAGGTTTAATAAATTTAGGTTTTGCTCTGCAATACCAGTGAACTCCACTAATGGATAATAGCATGACATGTTGACGTCACAGCTGCCTCAAAAGTCCGGCATGGGTTCAGTTTGTCACTTTCACCTTCTAGAACTGTAATTCAGTAATAAAACAAAATTTGGTGCTCACGTGAAACACTAGAGGGCAGTGCAGACAAACAGAATAATAATTTAGGTGGTTAAAAGGGCTTCTGGAATGAGCCGGAATGGTGTCCTGACCTCGGGTTGTCAATATTCACTTTGTTGACTAATAAAAAGGAAGTCTGAACTATGTCATAAATAAATAGTTGATATAAAAGTCATTTTTCAGGTAAAATATCAACCTGTTATAAACCTGCTTAAGCCCCGCCCACGTGTCAGTCATATTGGTCAACAATTGAGAATTACATCAAAAACAACATATGTTTGGTCATAAATATCAATGAAAAAAAAAAAAATTAAAAAATGTGTCATCTGATGCTAATGGTTTATATACTACAGTTGGTACAAAGGAGCAGAACAGTCGTCTACGTGTCCTAACAGTGGTGCATCATGGGTAGTCGTTTACATTGATGAGTCCTTTAGAGACATCGTTTGATTATTTCGGCACTTAGCAAACAATCACAATGAATTCTGCGTCATTGTTGTTTAATATGGAACAAAATTTACAAACCGTTTAAACAGTCGTAACGTTTTCATCAATTAAAGATATTTAGGAGTTTTTTTGTCACTTTTTTCTCTTAGTTTTTTTACAACTCAACTTCAAAAATTGAGAATATTCAAAATACACTTTGACTTCACATCGTTCTCTTTGTATTTACATGTTTGTACAAGACAGTACAGCGCCCCCACCCCAGCTTTTTTTTTTATAATTTTAGCATAAGATCATGAAATACAAAATTTACTTTTGTTTAGTTTTTTGTTATATTTTTTTCTCTGCGTCAAAAACTGGACCAAAAGTCCAGACTCGTCCTGCTCCCCCCTTCTCTCCCCCCTTGTTGTAACTATATGGACGTACTGTGAGCGGGGTCAATGGCTTCGGGTCTGGGTCCTGCGGAGACTGCCTGGTAAGACAGGGGCATGGGGGTCTTTCCAGGACTCTGTCTGAAGAGCCCCCCGTTGGGCGCCCTGTGTTTGCACTGAAGAGCGGCGCTGAGTGAGTGGTGCGACTGCGGCGGCAGCGTGCTGCTGCCAGGGCCCTGGGACGGGGGCAGCGTCCTGCCCAGGGTCCCCCCATGGTGAGGGAGGGGGAGAGGAGGAGGCGGGCCCCCCTCCCCTGGGAGGAAGGTGGTCACAGCAAGGCCCGAGGATGGGTGGTAGTCCTGCCCTGTCCCCAGAGAAGGCGCCAGTGAGGACGCTGGGCTGCCGATGTCCAGCGCAGAGATCTCGATAGAGGGGCCGGGGATCTGCTTGTGGGCCAAGTCCTCGTCCAAAAGACTGTTCATACGCCGGTGCACCTGCTCCAGGTTCACCTCTTTGTCCTGCAGGAGGGGAGGAGCAGAGGAGCAGGGGAGGAACACAAGGGGGAGGACAAGGGAGGACACAGAGGCTGAGATTGGTGGGGGGATGTTTTTTTTCTTTTTTCCTCTGTGTGGCGTTGTTGATGCAGTGATGTCACCACTCCACACATCTTTTTGAAAATAACAGTGTGTTCTTGAGCGGCTTGAAATCAAACTTGGCTTCTGTTAGTTTTAAAGGTTTGTGTAAAAAGATAATCCTGGAGCCAAAGTGAGCGACGGCTGCCACCCAGTGACGGAGTCATGTTTAGAGCTGAGTACATTTTCTTTTCTTTTTTTTATTATTTGGACACGTTTTTTTTACCTCTCTGAAATATGGTTCAGGAAAATTCTGGATCATTTTATTGGTGGTCTGTCAATGGTTGTAACCTTTTGACCTACATCAGGCTGACTGAGGTAATGCTTTTATCTGGGAAACATTGAGGTGGTCTTTTGAATAAAATGAGGATTTTCTTTGTTATTTTAATTATGTTTGTCTTATTAGTTGAAGGCAAAATTTAAAAATTCCCACTGAACATATTATAGGTCTTTCTTTCTGTTCTTGTTTTTAGCAAAATAGTCTGAGCTAATTTGCTAATCCTTTGGCTAATTTTAGCTCTAACTTAAGCAGGGATGTAGCAACCTTTCCTGTATTGTTATTACTATGTGGATTAAGTGAAATAAAAAACCATGAAAACATTTTTAACTATCTCAACATTGACTTCAAATGTTTCACTGTGGCTCCAGTATTACTACAAACAGATATTAGTCACCATAAAGTACACAACACATACACACTGGACATCAATAACACACACAGTTATTTATGCTGCAGTGTTTCCTGCAGCTGGTCCAAGGCCCCGCCCCTGTCCTGTTCCTGCCCCACCCCCAAACTGTCTCCATTTCTGCACACAGCTGCACACAAGGTAAAACTAGCAGTAGAAAAATACATGTAGAAAGATGAGAACACTGATATCTGTGTCCTGACCATCAGAACAGCCGTCCTCTGGTCAAAGCTCTGCCCCAGCTGCTACTGTGGACATTTTCTAAGGACACAAGTGACACATGTTTTGTATTTTCTACAACAACAACATGTTTTTGATTAATTTAACAATTCATTTGATCAGATACTGTTCAACATCAAGTGACTATCTGTGTGAAAACATGTTTCTATATTTATTTATATCTATATTTGTGTTTCCTTGCAGCACCTGGTGTAGTTTCATCAGCGTCTGATGTAACAACAATAATAAAACAAAAGGTTCAGTGTAATTTAGAAATGCCTTTGGAATTCTGTGAAGCATATATGTGTCTATTCTGACCTGTGTCAATAGCCTCTGCTTGGTCCCAGTGTTTCTGTCTGTCTGTCCAAATGTCCCTCTGTCCCTTCAAATTTCAGTTTCAGCCCAAAACAACATGGTGTCCTCTGCAAAGAGTTAAACCCAAATTAAATATCCCACTCTCTGGATATAATTGGTTTATTTTTCTTAATTATATTGTGCAATTAATTGTTGTGTCTATTCTGACCTGTATCAATAGCCTCTGCTTGGTCCCAGTGTCTCTGTCTGTCTGTCCAAATGTCCCTCTGTCCCTCCGAGGATCTTATGTCATTATAAGTCAAAGGAGCAGAAAGCTTTGCCAGAGTGAAATCCTTAGTGACCTGCACGAGATCACAAACATGAAGACAAAGGAGACAGAGAAGATGCTGTCCACAACAGTGACATCACCAGGACCAGGTTAAGGGCGGGGCTAAAGAGCCAACATTCCAACATGACACTTTACTGCTCACACTTTAGTTTATGGATCCACGGCTGTCCACAGTTACAGCACTGTCTGTCTCTCAGTGAGGTTTTTGTTTTGTGCTGATGGTTTCTCTCTCAGTCTACATCCGTCTCTCCCTTTTTCTTTCTTTGTACTCGCTCTACCTTTGCTTTAGCTCTTTGAATCTCTCTAATCTCTTTAATTTTGACTTGCCCCACCTCTCTCTGTTATTTGTTGCTCTCTCTCTCTCTCTCTCTCTCTCTCTCTCTGTGTTATGCTTTCTTCTGTCTGCTCTCGCTCCTCTTTCATTCAGGCAGTTTAAATCCGTGTTGCTCTCTCTCTCGTTATCTTCTTTCTGGTGAAGGGGCGGAGCTACAGTCGATAGCTCCCTCACAAAGAGAGACAACATTGAAAAACTTGTTAAAATGTGTTGTTGAACAAATTCAGTTCATTTCAGGTGACGCTAGATCTATTCTGATGGTTTTTATGTGCTCAACACCGCCCCCTGCTAGTAAACAACAAAAACTATACATAGAGTAGAAACATCACTAAGGAACTTTATTACTGGAGACGACTCGATGTAGGAAATACAACTTACTTTTCTAATGAGTGTGTTAGTAAACATGATGACGTCATCAGCCTAAAGACAACACATGAGCTCTGGACATTAAGGAGGAGGTGAAAGGGACGGGAGTGTGATGGACGGAGACCAAATTTGATTTCAGCCAGCACCTCTGCTGCTGCCTCCCTCACTCTCTGCTCTACGGCTCCCCCTGTCTACAGCTGCGTGTACTGCAGCTCCACTAAGTCGGGCCCGGCGTCTGTGTTTGGATCCTTAAAGTAGAGTGTGGCAGTGTCCTCGCAGCAGTGGCCCGGCCGCCTCTGCAGCGCCCCCCTGTGATTGGTCACCTCTTTGGGCTGCTCCTGTCGGCAGTGATTGCTGCTGCTCCACCAAGCCTCCAGTGCAGCCACCAGACAGGCCAGCAGCAGGCCGGCAGCCAGGATGCAGAAGACGCCGGCAAAGCTGTGCAGCCTGAGAGAGCGACCGTCTGGACCGGCGCTGCCGTGGCTGTTGAGGTTACAGCGGCCGGTACGAGGCCACCACTTCTGCTTCAAGATGTCGAGGTCTCCCTTCTCCTGTAGCTCCAAAATCCTGCAGGACAGAAGGAGAAAAGGGGAGGAGCTGACTCATTCTTTCCAGTTGTTTTGGCTAATTTTTCAATAAACTACTAGGGGTGTGTAATATAAAAAAACAATTACGGTGTTGTGAAACTGAATATCGTGATATTTCAGTGTATCGCTAATTTCTTACACCCCCATACGCTACGATTCCGACCCATCACCACCGCTCTGTGAGTCATTCGTGGTCAGATATGGCGTACCTTTAAATAACAGTGTGTTCTTCTGGACTCAGATGATGAACTGGATCGACGGCTGAACTGAACAAAGAATACAGCTGCCGCTCTCTTATTGAACAGATGTATTATGGGCAATTACAGGCTTGGTAACAGCACTGATCAATACTGCAGCAGTTTCAAGACCTCAGTCAGTCACAGGGAGATGATGCTCACTATTGTAACAAACAATCGTCAAGACAAAATCTGCCGTTCGAAGCCTTTTCAAAAGACAAAGAGTTTCAACGATCGATTTCTCTGTGGACTCTGTCAGATGGAAAACTTCAACTGTTGTCTCTGCTTCTTCACATCATCATGTCTCTCTTCATTTTCCCTCCCTGAGTGTTCTCTCCATTGTTCTCTTCCCTACGTCGATCTCTCGTTGTTGTTCTGACTCTTTGCTCATCCCGTCATTTATTATTTTTCTCTCTCCATCTTCCAATATTTTTGCTCTTTGTCAGTAACATCGGTTTGGCACCGTCAGTGTTTTTAGCCTGCAGATGTCTTAACGTGAATCTTCCTTCAGCTTTACCAGAACAACTTTACATGGTGTAAAATCCCAGCTCAGATTTGTGGTTTTAATTTGCTGAAGGTCAGCACAGCAGCATCATTGTGGACCCCCCCCGCCACCTCAGTGTTTTTATTTCCAGCAGCAACAGAAACATCTAGAGAGGGCGTGGAGCTGATTAATGTGAGGATGATGAAGAGGAAGCTGAGGCTTCAGGAGCAGGATGTGGAGAAATGTGGAGATAATTGTCTGTGAGCTGAACAAAAGCTCTGCCCTCACTTTCACTCCCGGACACATTATTCCCAGTATTCCCAAAGTGCCGGGTGCTGCTGTCCTGCCTGGACTGCTTTATTAACTGCTGTTGTTTGTCTCCATTCAGCAGCCACAAATTAATCCCCCAATAATAAAAACACAGTTTCATCACAGACGAGGAGCAGGAGAAGAAGGAAGAGAAAGAGAGAGAGAGGGAGGGAGAGAGAGAGAGGGCGAGAGAAGTAAAGGAAAATGTGACAATGGACAAAGCTCCACGGAGAGAGGAGAAAGTTTTACAGAGAGTTAAGAAGTGAATTAGTAGAAACGCAAACATGGATTAAAAACTGGAGCCAGTCTGAGGTCAAAGCACAAAAATAAACAAAATATCTCATCCAATCAGGAGCCAGGATTGCAAAAAAGAGGCGGTGCTCTCTAATCAAGGTTCCAGAAACAACAGACACAAAGTTAGCTATAAAAGAAGTAAATGTTAAAAAAATCTAGCTAAAAGTTAGCGTAACTTTAGGTTAATAATCAAAGTGTCAAACTTTTATGTTTCTCCTCTTTTCCTGTTTCCTGTCTTACATCTCCTCCTCCTCTGTGACACCTTGATGCTGCAGTAAATGACTTTTCTCAGCTCTTTGGGCTCCAACCTGCAGAATAAAGGAGGTGAATGGAGGAGGTGCAGAATTTGGTGAAGTTACACTTGAAGGAGGTGTAAATGACATTTTGGACGTGGAGCTGTGCCGAGGTCCCCGGTGGCTCCGCCCACAGACCAACAAGGTGTGAAAGCACCTGCACCAGGAGCTCTGCTGCCCTCCTGAGGGCAAACATCCACAATTTCTTTGTGAACAATCTTCTTGTTGATGACAGACAGCATCAGGAACTGTTCACTGAATCGATGACATCACTTCCTGTCTGATGTTGTGCCAGCTGGTCAATAAGAGATGGATGAGAAAGTTCTAAGACTCGGTTCTCCTCCGGGAGTTCATTCATATTTCTCCAATCTCACACTGAGATTATTTTAGATTTGGACTCTGCCGCTCACTGATTTAATCTCCAGCTCTTATAAAAAAATAAAAATAAAAATACAACTTCAGTCAGGCTCCTGACCCATGAAAGAAAACAGTAATTAGTGTGGGCCGTGGTTGTGTTTACACCGCTGTGAGAATAATCCCATTTATTTCACAGCAGCTACGCTGATTAAAAGCAGCTCCTTTCATCTCAGATTAAACATTAGGTTTAACGTCGGGGAAATTATTGATTTAACGCGGAGCATGAAAAAAAGAGTGTTTGTTCTGATCCCAGCAGAAATGATCAGACAGAAAAGAAAACAGTGGAGTTTTCAACATCTGTAAAAGAGGTTTTTTTTAAACATGTTGCTGATAAAATCAATTTTCTGGCGGTAATACAATCAAATGATCCTGTATCAAGCAGGACGACCTTCACTCTGACCACTGGAGGCAGCAGTGGACCAGGAGTTGTCTGTGTTGCTATGGTTAGGAGAGGCTAAAACTATCTGTTAGGTCTTTACAGTATATAACATCAATTGGTGTTATATAATTATGACCCCCCCCCCACCCTCACCCTCACTGTCCCTGTAAATGTGCTCCTGCTGTGACTCACTTCTGGGAGAACAGGTCTCTGTAGGGGCTGCCGTGCTGCATGGCGATGCCGTAACCTTTGCTGCTCATGCTGTTTCCTGACACGGTGATGGTGCAGTCGTCGTCGGTCAGAGCAGCGTACTCCAGCACCGCCATGTCCCACAGGAAGGCGTAGGCACTCTTCTTAGCCTGATGGAAATGTAGCAAAAATAAGAAAAAATATATTTAAAAAAAATGCAAAAACTTAACTCAAAATTGACCAAATAATATTTTAAAAAGCAATGTGAGGGCCGGACCCTGTGTTTGAGAAACCAAGCTGTAGAAGCAGAAGGTAAAGGAGGCAGCAGTGAAAAAAAACAAACACCTAATGAGGTGTGTGTGTGTGTGTGTGTTGTTACCACAGGGACCACAGCAGTGTCACAGGAAGTTTATCATGTAAATGGATGAATAATGGATTCACTCACACATAATTTGTCTCCAATGCTAATTTGTCAGCGGCTTTTGGGAGATCTATGAGTGTAATAACTACAGCAGCACACACACACACACACACACCCTGTTAACAAATGAGTGGAGGCAGAGTCTAAATGTGAATCATTGGAGGATATTTACTCTTTTAACAGATTTTCTTGTTTTTGTGAAATATGTTTCTGGAGTTTTTTTATTCTTTGGATCATTTATAGGTCGCTGTGATCTGAGGCTAACGCCGTCTCTGAGCTAACTTCTCATTTAGCTCATTCTGGGCCCTCCCACACACGCACACTCACACACACTCACACACACTCTGACCTTGCGTATTCCCTCTGAGGGACTGGACACGCAGTAGTTCAGCCCGTTGTTCTTGCTGATGCTCCTCCACAGCTCGGCGTAGGTGGCGTCCTGCTCCAGAGGGTTGGTGCCTTTGTTTCGGAAGTAGTCATAGACCGCCGAGTCCCGAACTGTGCCGTAGTCCACGTCCATCTGCCGAACCAGGTCCTGGAAAGTCCTGGATCACAGCACATAGAGAAAGACACAAATATGAGACTAGACGTTTCTAAGAAACAAGTTCAAAGCTTCACCTCTTGGTTTAGCTCCTACAAAAGTCCTGAGAGGAAATCAGGGATCATAGCCTCCAGGGAACCAACAGGGTTTTCTGCTGCCCCCTGGGGTGAATTTGTGTCACTGAGTTAAATCCAAATGATCCAAAATAACAAATTAAAATGTATTACTTAAAGATGGAGTTAATTTATCAGCAAGAGTCCAGAGAGAAAACCACCAAAAACAGGAGCAGGTCTGCGACTCCTGGCTGCTGGTGTTCTCTACGGAGTCTGGTACGCTCCCAGACGCCTGCTCATCTCCACACTGTATTCTACTGGATATTTACACAGTGTGTTCTTGAACAGTAGCACTGCTGAAGATCGGTTGTGTCATTTAACAGGAAACCAGGGAAAATCCTGGAGACTGAGTTACGCCGATGCACCTGAACGCCTCGTTCTGCTGCAGTTTCCTCGTGTCGGCACGTCGCAGACATTTTTCTACTCAGACGACACTTTGAGAAGGATTATAAATTAAGACCTGCCGTCTGGCGGAGCAGCCAGGAAACAAAACTCTTGACTTTAATGAGGAGAAAAAAACAAGTGCAGAACTGAAGACTCCAGCTGAAGTCTTCGACATTCTAAATTCAAGTCTGACACCTGGACTAGAAACAAACGTTTGACTTTTGTTTCCTGCAGGACTTTTCACTGCTGTTTATCATGAGCTGACCTTCCTGACTGGTCTGCTGGACGACGTGGTGCACAGACATAAAGTTCATGTTGCTAATTTGGGTTTCAAGCATGTGTGTGTGTGTGTGTGTGTGTGTGTGTGTGTCCTACCATATAGCGTGGTCCATGCGTGACACGGTCAGATAGGCTGCCAGGTTGGCAGTGTAGGATGAACATACGATGAGAGTGAAGAGCCACCAGCTGCCCATGACGATCCTCAGAGCCATGGAGCCCACAAGACTGTCACCACCTGTATATGGACACACACACACACAGTACCACAGGTTTAGTTTTGGTCAGCTAAAATGTCTACCTTTCATTGGTCGACTTTTGTCAGATGAAATCAGATTAAATGACTAAAATGTACTGTGCAGTATTAAATACTCAACTCTCTTTCGTAGTATTAAGTCATATTAAGTCATATTGAGTCATATTTAGTCATATTTAATCATATTTAATCATATTTAATCATACCGATACAGTATATCTGTGTATATAGTTCCTGGCATCATGGTGGCTGTGATTGGCTCTTGTCCTAATTTGTTCTATTGTCTCAGTCCATTTTGTTTCATCTGGTTCTAACCATTGATTCATTTGTGGTCACATGACCCTGAACAGCTTCCTATTTATTTATTTATTTAATTTAATTAAGTCTTAAAGAGCCGTTGACTGACTCTTCTTTGACGACAGTGAATTTTTAAATATAGGAAAATGGAAAACCACATTTTCTTTTTCTTTTCTGTGAAATACTATTGAAACAAGCCAGTTAACCTGCCACACAACTCACTCACCAAACAACCAACCAACTGATCAACCAACCAACCAACCAATCAACCAACCAACCAACCAATCAACCAACCAACTGATCAATCAACCAACCAACTGATCAATCAACCAACCAACTGATCAACCAACCAACCAACCAATCAACCAACCAACCAACCAACAAAGCAACCAACCAACCAACCAACCGACCAACCAACCAACCAACTGATCAATCAACCAACCAACCGACCAACCAACCAACCAACTGATCAATCAACCAACCAACCGACCAACCAACCAACCAACTGATCAATCAACCAACCAACCAACCAACAAAGCAACCAACCAACCAACCAATCAATCAACCAACCAACCAACCATTCCATCCCACAGAACTCATTATCTAACTGAACCTCTGGATGATGTTTCCACAAACATCACAACAACCAGACACATGTACTTCAACAGGTACTTCAACAGATGCAGTAATGCTGAGTTGTTGTTTTTTTTTTTTCTCACCTTGTTCACAGTGAGCTCCGTAAACAATCCAGATTGCGCTGTTCAACGACCCCGCCCCTACACCATTGGTCGGCTGACCAGGTGCAGCGTTCTGGTTGGCAGACGAGCGCAGAGCCTGCAGTCTGTTAAGGAGAAAGATCAACACTGCCACCACCAGGATGGCGGCAGCGATGCAGGCCCACACAGCCAAGTCAAAGGGAGCGAAGAGCGAGAAGATGTTGATCTTCTCCTCGGGTTTTTTCCGACGCTGTAGTCCAAGTACCGTTTACTGAAGTCCACCACATTCTCCCGCTCAGGAGTGATGGTGATGGCCGACACAGCCAGGTCTGCTTTCTACAACAAACAAAGGCCATCACGGTCAGACGCCCCCTGGTGACTGAAGCAGGTTACAGATCAGACAGTGGTGTACAAGTTTGTCCCACCTTACTAATGAGGTCACCGATCATCCCGTTCCAGGAACCGTTTGGAAGCTGAGTTCCATATTTACTGTCACTGACCTGAAGCAAAGATGATTAAAGTTCAGATGAGAACCAGGATTAGCCCACCCCCTGCCTGGAAGCTAGCCATGACATGTAATGATGACAGTTAGCTTAACGGCTACATTAGCTGTTAGCCAGCCATGGCTTTAGGTAAGAAGTTAGTGCAGCTATGTTAGCATTGAGTTGTTATTTATCTAGCCTTAGCCGTTAGCTGTTACCACACCTGATAGATTTCATATTTAAAGCCCAGGATTTTGGCGAGTGCGTCCAGAACGTCGATGGAGAACCCTTTGTATCTCTTTGGTTGACCCAGGATGTTTTCAGCCACCATGACGAATGGATCCTCCTGAGAAAAGACGGAAAAAATGACATAAAAACATAACTGTGTTTACGCTTAACCAAGAATAAATCTAAAGTTTTAAAATGTGCTTTTAAAAAGTCCCTCCACAGAATTAACTGTAACCTTAAACACACTCACAGTGATATTGACATCAACTCTAAACCGTGTTTGCTTTAGGTTAATGCTAACCTGGTGTATCAATACTTATCGTTCCCCAGACTCACCAGCAGAGTAACCACTTTGACTGTCACACCCTGCATCCCACTCTCTATACGACTCTCCTTCAGGCTGCCGTTCAGACCCTGAACTGAGTCCCAGGTGGCAAGCTGCACAGACAGACAAAAAGTCAGTAAAAAAAAAGTCAGTCAAGAGTAAATTTATAGAACTTAAGCCCAGACTCGTGTGTGGACTGCTCACGGAGGGAGAATCAGGCCGAACAAAAGACTGTAAACAGGCTGTAATTAGGACAGAGAGCTGATTGGTCGACTGTGCCATGAAAGCAAACGGTGCAACAGAGAAACAGGCTGTAAATGAACAGAGAACAGGCAGTGAAGACTGTAAACAGATTGTGAACTGACACAATGTATTTTCTGGTGTGTGTTTTTTCATGTAGCTGCAAATCAGACAGAAAGATGGAGTTAACACACACACGCGCGCCCTCTCTCTCTCTCTCTCTCTCTCTCTCTCTCTCGGTGAGTCATAGCACTCAGAGCTTACATAAGGCCATTTTTCATGATAAAAAGTTCAGAAGTAGTATAAATACCTGGCATTGTCTACAGAGGAAAAACAGGGGGAAACAGATTCACACACACACAAACACACACACATTAACCTACCAAACCTTGTGTTGTGTAATAAAGTGTTAATGACAGACAGACGTCTCATCCTTAAATAGAACTCTGTTCAGGAGTCGTGCTTCAGAAGAGAGAAACCAGTTGACTCTGGTTTTTAGAGCTGAAGAACTGGAGAAGGAACTCAGTCTAAAGGTGAAGGAGATTTTAAATTTAAATCAGAAGAAAATCATGAAAGCAGCAGCAAACGAGCAGCAGAGTTTTGACAGCAGCTCTGTCAGATTCAGTGTTTGAAAATTCAGTCCAACTGAATCAGCTGTGGTTGAAGAAGCAGCAGAAAAGTTTCCATCGTCAACTTCATCTCCCCCGTGAGCTGCCTGTCAGCAGGTTAGCTTTTCTCTGCTCTGTTCTCCGTCTACACTCAGATGTGCTGATGGGTGTGTGTCTGTGGAGCTGGTGAAGCCCCCCACCATGACAAAAGTCCAAATTAATTAAAAATAAAAAAGAGATCAGTCAGTACATTATTCTAAAAACTAACCAGGAAATGACAAAAAAAAAAAAAAATTAAAAATTTAGAAAATGTAAAACAGTAAAAGCTAGGTATTTTTGGCTAACTGCGAGCTACTCTGAGCTAACTCTTTACATGGCAACACTCATTTTAAACATTTTACGTTTTTAATAAAGAACCAAATCTTACATTATTGTATTGTAACCTTCGACTGTTATTTTGCTAACCTTCGACTGTTATTTCGCTAACCTTCGACTGTTATTTTGCTAACCTTCGACTATTATTTTGCTAACCTTCGACTGTTATTTTGCTAACCTTCGACTGTTGTCTTATCATCCTGTGGCTAACATTAAGCTCCTGGTTGGTCAGGTGGGCCAGCTCAGAGTTAGTTCCTGGCACTGTAGTCTGTCATCTGGTTTGAAAATGCACAATGCATTTATAGGATGACCCTTACAAACACGGACTCCCCCCCGATTCCCCAGCTGTCCCCCACCTCAACCCACACACACACAGACGCTCATATGTGTGTGGAGACTTGGGAAGTTGTCAAAAAGCACTTTAGATGTCAGGCAGTGGTCCTGGGGGGAGTGGGTGAGGGAGGGGGGGCGCGTCCTCTCCATTAGCCATGATTTAAACCAGTCCTTACGGAGACAACAGTGGACAGACACATTTGTCCCATCGTTTAGAGGACAGTCCCACAGGAAGAGCTTATACATGGTGTGTAATTTACACTGGTGACCACAGGGGGGGTAAACCTCACGTACTCGCCCTCTTTGAAGTCTTAGAAAAAAAATGAAGGTTTAGATATTTGACCTGATACTCTGTGAGTACACAAAAATACTTCAAAAACAGAATACCAAACAAACACATATTCATGGCTTTCTACTCTCATGTGGACCTGCTATAATGCACTCTCTTTCTCCCCCTCTCTCCCCTCTGTTTCTGTCTCCCTGTATCTCTCTCTCTCTCTCTCTCTCTCTCTCTCTCTCCTCACCCCTCTCTCTCGCCCCCCCGCCCCCACATTCTCAGGCTGTAACATCGTTGTTACTCAGTTTTGCGTGATTAGACAAATCTCTTTAAAAGCACTTTCATGCCTCGATGTAAGGAAGAAAAAAAAGGACAAAAAAATCAATAGAATAATAAAAGCCGGTCACTTTCACATCAGAGGCCGCGGCCACTTATAAAACAATGCCATTAACCCAGCGCTCGTTCATTCCTCCAGACAGCTAATGCTCACACCGGCCGTAATCCCTGACAGAGTGTCTTAATTAGGGTCGTTAGCCTAATCACTAGATTTCTTGGTCGTTTCTACAGTGAGCCCGGCTGTAGACGACCAAACTCAGGTCACGCACAGCATCAACTCAGCCGCAGTTCGATCAACAACAAACTCTTACCTGTGGGAAAAATGGAGGACGGAGACACGTTCTCATCACATGATGCTAATGCTGCCTGTTAGTTTTCAGTCATCAGCCATAATTCAACTGACAGTTTTGAACCCAGACCTCAGCAGGGTCTGATCCTCCATGTTTTAGGAGCCACATCTTATTTTGATCCATATTGGCGTTCAACTAGTCAACAGCAAACCACAGGTTTGATCCCCTGATCAGAACCAATTGAAGTCTGGTTTCAACCGTGACCTCATATGATCCATCTCCAATAGAATCTTGGTTCTACATGGTACTAACCAGAACCTGGGTCCCTTACATCTGTGCGGGTCTTTCATTAGCGCCCCCTGGTCATGACGGCTCATTCATTGGGACTGTTAGAATCTCATTCCATTTGGTTTTCAGCCAAAGCTGGCATGCCACCTGTGTTTTGAAAACTTTGAGCAGCAGGGGGCGTTCTCAGCCCAGTCGGCGGGAGGTAAGTGTAGGTACTTTATGTCGGCAAGGTCGGGGGAAGAGAATCCAAAGCAATCTCTCTGATTGTGCAGTTAAGCAGAAGAAAATGCAAGTGGGTTGAAATGAAGCCTATTTTTAAAGTATTTCCTGCTCGTTATCTTCAGATGAATTCAATTTGCTTTTAATCGATTCTCTGCAGTTTTTATCTTATTAAAGCTAGACCTCAGAGCAACCTTCAGAAACACGCAGGAAGAATGGTGTTTAATTAAAACACAACCCAGAGACGGGTCACTCCTCCCAGAACTCCATCACTCCCTTTTACTCCTCCTCGTGTTGCCATTAAAGTAGGTCTGGGAGAAAAACCCTGCGTCAGACTCACACACCGTGGTTTTGGGTTTGTTTCCACAGAAACAGCGGTAATCTGCACCGCGTCTGCACAGAAACAGACTTCATTAGACGAGTGACGAGGAACAAATGGATGGAGGTTCCTCCAAAACTGCAGGAGTCCAGTTTTTAGACTCCATCGAGTCGCTGACCACACTGAGTTCTGAAGGCACAGTAGACTCGTTACAGGTCCGGGGG